AATTTCTTTCTGGATAAGCATCAGTGTTGTTCCCGGTACTAAATTAATTATATCAGATTTCCAGAAAACTGTAATAGATAAACGGCTTTCACCTTACAAAGCGTAAATTCAAATGATGCTACCGACAGGGGCGACTTAACATGCCCCACCTTAAATGTTCTAAATGTGTCCAAAATTATTTTTACCACTTACTATCCGTGTGGCTTTTTTAAATTTTCACGATTACATTAAATATCGTGGGTCTACTTTAAACATTCTGACTATTTAATTATAATAATTGGACCCTTTTGAATACTAGGGAACCCCGCCAAGACCCAATTTATGGGAAATCGCATTTTAAGTTTTTTAAAAGCATCTCATATTTTGGAAAGAGGAACATAATTATATCGTTTTTTGTGTCCTATTTAGGTATTGTGCAAGCAAGATGCAAAATTAAAAAGCAATTCTGGCAAGGATGCGGTAATAAACCCATTTTTGACAAGATGTCGGTTGGTTCCCTTTCGCATAACTGCGTCCAATTTGAAAATGTAAACAACAAAAAATATAAAATATAATAAAAAGCTTTACCTATTTCATTTTGACAATAATGTAATAGATTTTGTAATACACTGCGCGTCAAAATTAACGCATAACAAGTAAAAAAAATCCAACTCTAAAACGCCTTTACCAATCTTTATAAAATTTTGTATAAAAATACTTCAACTTATATCTCAGTTTTCGTGTTCAAGGGTTTTTCGAGAAAATATCCTTAAAGCCCTTTTATTTAATAATAAAAAATGCTCGAAAAACAACTTCTATAGGCAAATTTATTTTTAAGTAAATAAAAAATATGTTGTGAAAGATCTTATTTTTGTTAGTATACCTGATTTTGTACAAATCAAACGAACAGTAACGAAAATACATCGCTTCAAAGTCGTCAAAAATGACCACTTTTCAGCAAAATAAAAAAGGGGTCATTTTTACCGACTTTGAAGCGCTGTATCTTCGTTACTGTTCAGGGTATACTAACGAAAATACGGTCTTTAACAGCAGATTTTTTATTTTCTTAAAAAAAATTCCCTTAAAGTTATTTTTAGAACGTTTTTTTAATTATTAAATAAGAGAGCTTTAAAAATATTTTCTCGAAAAACCCTCGAACACGTAAACTGAGATATAAGTTGAAGTATTTTTATACAAAATTTCATAAAGATTGATAAAGGCGTTTTAAAGTTAGAATTTTTTTACTTATTATGCGTTAATTTTGACGGGCAGTGTAGAAACTTTTCAATTGTAACTGATCTGGTACAATTGTAATAGACGGAACAACACTGGTACGCATTGTTTTTTAAATATTTACCGCTAACCAAAAATTATTAAGTATTATGTTGCTTTTTTGCATGCTAACTTTATTTAAATTCAAAGTTTTAATTTTATAAAAAAAATAATGGGGTCTCACTTTTTACAAAGATTTTTGTTTATAGTTCTATAAAAACTCTGTGAAACCGGCGATGCATCGCAAAGGTACGTTCTTCAAGTGATTTAAAGAAAAATATTAAAAATGTAACACTAAGTTTTTGGACTTCCATAACTCGAGGAATTTTTCCAATATTACAATTTTAATATTTTTCTGCGAATCACTTGAAGTTCCCAAAGAACGTACCATCGCCTGTTTATACATACATACATGTAGATATACGATATTACAAATAAACTATTTAAAAAAAACAAAAATCCACCAAAAATACAATTTTCGTTTATGGAACCTCGTAATAACACTTATATTTGACATGAACAGAAAAAATTGTTGTTAAAATCCTTAACCAAGATTAGTATATTAAAATAAAATCTATTCATATTTTAATTATCTTTAACATCGTCGGTTTTATAAACGGATTTTAAGCACGAGCAAAGCTTGTGGAGCGAGTGTCTAATAAACGAGTTTATTAAATTTGTTTAGATATGATGTTCCGGTCCAGGACCCATCAGTATCCAACGGAGACGTGCATCCACCACACTCCAACTCGAACGATAGATCTTTGTCCAGTACGCCTGCCGGAAGTAGTATATACTGTTTTCTGTGCAGTTTACATTCGGACTTAACGCTCGCACGAGTAGTATACAGTAGGCCACAAGGTAAGAACTACACAATAAAACCTAACAAAAGTTAATATTATATTTATTTTTTAGGAAGGAACGCGCCGTACTTTCCCGCCCTTCGTCAGCACAAAAGTCCTCCAAACGCCGAACAGTTGCGAGACGACGGTTCGGCTTTGGTGTGCACGTTTTGCTACCACAGTTTGGTAAACCAGTGGCGCCGCTACGAGGGCCAGGGCAACCAAACACCCGCCGACAGAAGAGAGTACAACACCCACGACTATTGCTGTTACGTATGCGGCATTACGACGTATAGAAAAAGAGTGAGAGCACTACCTATAAAAGTAAGTTGAAAAAGTGTATTAATAGTTATTTATGTATCAAGGCAGTAAAGTCGTATTTTTTATCACGAATGTGGAAATTATTTGCAGAGGCAAAAGCCGAGGCAAATAACCACGTGAGTGATAAAAAATACGACTTTACTGCCAAGGTGCATATTAAATTTTATCCGAAATCACATTTAATAATACTATACTTTACTGCCGATTTCTTTTACTTTACTGCCGATTTCGGACAATAGTAGTTTACATAAAAAGAGTGTTCAATAGAAATTTACGCGCAAGCAGAAGTTACGCTTGCCTAATTCCGCGAGTCCGTAATTGCTTTACCACTCGAGGAATGTACACTACTTTATCTACAACACAACATTTTCAACCTTTTTTGAATTTTTTAAAGTTTACATTGACAGTTCTGACATTTATTTAATTTTTTCACAATAGTTTAGTAATAAACCAAACCAGCATTAGTAATTTAAGTTTTAAACTAATACATTTGTGACACTTATTGCGAAAATTAGGGGTGTGGGTAGGGTTTTAAAATTTGAGCCGGCGGAAAAACCATTGTTTTTCTGAAAAAAAACGAAAAAATTGGGAAATATTCAGAAAAATTTAAATTAGCATTTTATTAGAAAGGTAAAACGAAAAAAATCAAAGTCAAAGTTTCTGATATTATCTGTATAGTGATAACAAGAAAAAAGTGAATCTCTATATATACACTAGGGTGTCCCTTATTTTTATATTTATTAGTTGTTTATATACTCCCAGTAAAAATTTCAGCTCTTTCTATAAACGGGAACCCGTGCCGACTTGCATCTAAACCCTCCGTTAGCCAACGTTAGGCGCGCGCGGTATTTTGTAACACGAAACACTTTAAAAAGAAGATATACTTCATGACTGTATTTTTCTAATGATTTTATTAAATATGATTACTAATTAATATTATTGCTTTTGTTTCTATCATTTGTTTCACTAATTTAGTTGATTTTATTCCTTAAATATATTAATATACTAATTAGTATTGCTAAAATATACTGTTATATGAAATTTCAGCTTTTTATAAGCATTTCTTTTCTTGATGTCCTCCCAAAAATATTTTAGACAGTTCAATAAGTTTTCGGTAGTCATCTCTCACAATAGACTCTTTTAGTTATTTAGAGTAAAACCCATTAAGTTTATCAATTTTAGAGTTTACGGCCTATTCACCAGACCCTTCCGGGTAACTAGCCACTCCCTGTGAAAATATACATTTATATCAAAGTATACACATAAATAAAACTATATTTTAACATTTGTCAATAATTTATAATATAAGGGTCACATAATCACAAACACAAAATGACTTACGATCGAAGACCTCGCGACCAACCGTGTTACAAAATACCGCGCGCCTAACGTTGGCTAACGGAGGGTTCAGATGCAAGTCGGCACGGGTTCCCGTTTATAGAATAAGCTGAAATTTTTACTGGGAGTATATAAACACGTAATAAATATAATTAGAGGGTATGCGTAAAAAAAAATAAAAATAAGGGACATCCTAATATACACCTATTATAATTAAAATGAATTATTCCTATTTTAATTCAGCAAAAAACATATTTGGTGCTGTATTAACACTATCGTTAAATTATAATTTTGTAATTTAATTTTATAAATCATTCATTATTTTGAAAATGGATATTTTCAAAAAGGACCCAACCAACAGTATATTTAAAGTTTATGTTTATTTTCCTAAATATATTCAATATTTAGTTTGTTTTCTTTTCTGTAATAAAGAATTTTAATTAAAATACTGTTAAGTTGTTGATTTTTACTTTTATTAAAATGTGTATTTTTTCCAAGGCCTGGGAAAAAATGTGTTTTCGTTTTTTTTTTCGCACAAAAACCCTAGGTGTGGGAATATTCGAATTTACATACTATTCAAAAAGTTTAAATATTATATATTTATATAAAAACTATTCGATTCAATTTCAATTAAAACATCCCTCAAGAAATTCTAAAAAAAAATTACTATTTTACATATTTGAATTAATTATTCTGTAATATAAAAAAAATATGAGTACCGTATAAAACCAATACAATAATTGTGATGGCGATCCAAATGCAACTATTCTTAAATAAGTAATTATGGTGGCGCCATAACTGAAGTACCTTTCCAAGTAACTTGCCTCTGCCACGTCCGATCTGTTTACTGAGCCTGCAAAGTGCTTTGTGTATGATAAACCCAACCATACCATAATTGTTATTTCAGTGGATTTATTAGTATTTTAAAACAATTAATGTTTTTTTGTTAAAATTTTGCTATTTTCAGTTGTAACAATTTACTGTAGCATGATTGTGACTAAAGATTGATCATGGGCACATACAAATCAAAGTAAACAGATAAAAACTTGTATGAGGCTAGTAATTAGTTAGTGATTGGCTGATTTCATTACTTTGTTTTGGATCAATCGGGTTTTAAATTTGAAGAAACTTTCTCGCCCCTTGTATCAAATCATAAAATAATAATATATAATAATAATAAACTTAATTCGATACTGTCATTATAATTTCATATTTTTTCTTAATTGTAGGATTTTCCATTTTTACGGTTTCATCCGCAACCCGAGCATTCGCTGTTACTTGAGAACGGCGATTTCTCGGTGGTATGTTTGGACTGTTACGAGACGCTGCGCACGCAGAGCTTGGAGTACGAAAAATGGGGCTTGCCCATCGACAAGCGCCAGTACAATTGGATCACGCAGCCGCCCCCGCCAGAAGACAGTCCCGAAGCGGCTATCGCGAGGCTGCCGAGCGGCCAGAGGAGCGACAAAGTGGTATGTGGAAATTTTATTTTAGATTTTTTGTTAAATGTGTTTCAAAATTAAAAACAAATGTTTTTATCTACAAGTCAAGAATATTTTTCCAAAGTTAAAGGAAATCGGAGTAAAACTATTTGAGATAGAGCCTTTGTAAACTCCACCCATGATGCTCGTTTTATTACTACTATTATAATAACTTTAATCGCTTTTTTCTCAATCATCTATTATTGAAGTCGGAAGCCGTGATTTCTAAAATACTTATGCACCAATCTTATTAAAATTTTGCACACTTCTTCTAGATACAGTTTACTAATGCTTGAATGAAGGATTTTTATTTTTGATCACAACTTATTTTACAAGGCAAAAAATTGCCAAAAATTCAATTAATTTTTTTTAATCCTTAATTCAGTCACGAGCTATACTTACCTACTAACAGGAAATATTTGTTTTTTCCGACTACTGCAAAAACCCGTTATCATCGACTGAATTTAAAATTTGTAATCGATTTTTTTTTAAATATAACTTAAATGTTCTTTCATATTCTAAAAGTTTAAATAAAATAAATATTTTTTTTATGGTAAAAAAATAGAGAAATATGCTTTTGGCCTTTGAAACCCCAAACATGGGTTACCTGGGTATCTCCTTTAAATTACTTTTTTATGCATAAAATAATTATTTTTGATGGTAGATGCCATTGTTGAAATCATTGAGTATGCAAAAGAATTTTGCAATCAAGTAGGTATCAAACAACATTTTAGTTTATACATTATTAAAAATGTGAAGGGAAATTTTTTAAACAGATTTAAAAGTATTTTGCTTAGGTACATAGCAACGAATGTACGTTCTGTAGACAAAAAACTGTTATGACACTTAATAAATATAATGTAAAAGTCAACTTTTAATGACAATTTTAAACAAAAATATTGCTAAGCAGAAGTTGTAACTGCAATTTTTCTCAAAATTATCTAGACATAAAAAATATGAATTTTAGCTTAAAACTGATTCAAAAAAATTATTGCCGTAATTTAAAGTGGTTATTTTCATCTTTACACTACACATAACTACAAAACCGTACTCTTTTCCTTAGCCATATGGCCGTAATTCGTTCACTGAGATACGAAATTTGCAAAGTAATTGTAGATACAGCTCATAAGCCTAAGTATCGTTTTGGTTACCGTAAAGTTTGCGATGTACAGGGCAGTGGCGGCTGGTGGATTTTTTGTATACCAATATCTCAGTTCTTAGATATCGGACCCACACCAAATTTATAATAGTTTATAATGACATTAAATAAACAAGTTCGGCGCAAACAGAATTTAAATTGAAGTTTGCGACTCACCCGCCTCCAGGCCCCCCTATTTAAGATAATTCAAATTAAAGTGGTGCAATTTATTATCTACTATAATTTATTGACAAATTTAAAATTTTGTTTAAAAAATCCAAATATTACAGATTTTATTCGATTTTACATTTTTATTATTTATTTTATTAAAAATATTTAAAATGGTATAAAACCTGTAATATTTGGATTTTTTAAATAAAATTTTAAATTTGTCGATAAATTATAGTAGATAATAAATTGCACCACTTTAATTTGAATTATCTTAAATAGGGGGGCCTGGAGGCGGGTGAGGCGACAGGAAAAACTAACTTTTTCGCAAACTTCAATTTAAATTCTGTTTGCGCCGAACCTGTCTGTTTAATGTCATTATAAACTATTATAAATTTGGTGTGGGTCCCATGTCTAATAACTGAAATATTGGTATAACCAAAATCCACCAGCCGCCACTGGTACAGAGTGATCCCCTATAATGTCGCCCCCCCTTTAACTTTTTTATTTTAAGTGTCCCAAAAAAAGTGTGGTTATGTAGGTACTAAAAATACTTTTTTTCTATGTATAAAAAAATGGATTTTTTTTTCAATGGTTCACCCTATATATGAATGTATGTTTCGATTCCTTGTAAAATTCTGAGCATAATTCATATAACAAACCATATACCTAAACTCAACCGTTTCTGAAACATTACGTCAATATGTCTTGTTAAATAAGTAAAAATGGCGTACTCAGACAGAGAAAGACAAACTATTTCTAATTATCTTAAAAATAATTTAAATATTTCAGAAACGGTTGAATTTAGGTATATGGTATGTTATATGAAATATGCTTAGAATTTTACAAGGAATCGAAAAATAAATACATATACAGGGTGTTATGTAATTAATGTTATATATTAAAATGGGTTGTTCCTTAGGGTCCATAAAGAAGCACCTGAAACTTTTTTTTTCTAAATTCCAAAGTCTAAAAATAATTTATAATAACCTTTATCCTACGCCACTGATCGACTAGGAACTTTAGGTTAATCTGGTGGATTTATTATGTTATGGTTGGTAACAACACTTGGTTTAGTAGACTACTAAACCAAGGTAACAACAGTGTTTCCAAAATCTAACAACAGTGTTTCCAAAATCTCTCAAAAAAGTTAACAAACATTGTTTAAATTTAGCTTAATTACAAAAATGACAAAATTAACAATGCAAATTGTCAATTTGGCGTTTTTATTAATTGTTGGTTATTTCATTTTTGTACTGAAGGTAAATTCAAACAAAATCTGCCAAATTTTATGACAGAATCTAGTGCATTTCTTTTAAATTTTAGGTTATGTTTTCAAATTGTAAATATCTTAACTAAGGGAAGTGCTTTTGGATTTATTTACACAAATTAAATGTTTAAAGTTTAACCTGTGAACTGGTCCCAATTTCATCTGAGTAAACAGAGAAAAAAACTGATGAAAAAATTAATTTTGTGGTTATGAATTTCAAATTTCAAAGGTACTAAATTTTCTAATCATTGCTTAAGCTAATAGCTGGATCAGTAAATAAATACAGAAGGGTATTAGAGCTTTAAGGGCATAAAACTTTTGTATTTATTGAGTTTTTAATTATTTTTTGCAAGAAAAATTTTTAGTAACAATTTTTTACATCTGGCAACGCATAGCTACTTTGTTGGTTGGTATCTTTGTCTATGTACTCACAAAATACAGGTGTGCAGAGATAAACAAGTGTGTAACCAGTGGCGTATCACAAAAAATATAAAAAACTTCTGATGCATATTTTTTCTTTATCTTTGGAAAAATGTTTTTTTAAATATTTTTCCTTTATTCCTTATGTCAAAAGGTATTCAGTTCCATTGAAAAAAAATAAACTTTTGTTTTTCCCTGTATACTGATCAATTTTCCAATTTTCTTTATACATAGAAAAAAAGTATTTTTTAGTACCTAAATAACCACACTTTTAAATTTTTTGGGACACTTAAAATAAAAAACTTAAAGGGTGGCGACATTATAGGGGATCACCCTGTACAAATCGCCTATTCTTTATAATAAAGCATGTATATATTTCATTCCTGGAAAACAGGACCTGCATTGTTGTAACAATATAACAGGTACTGTATTAATTAAGGGAAAATTCCAAAAATTACAGTAGAAATACCACGTTGCATTGACAATGTTTGTATCGTAAATCAAAACCGTCAAAGTAATAAAATTGTAAATAAATTATTAATTAACTCCGTACAGAATTAAACCTAAAATGTCATCATGTCAGATGAACCTAACATAAAAGTAATGTGACAGAATCTTAAGAAATTATTAAATTAAATGCTTGAACAAAAACAGTATTTAAAACTCGGCGGCGAAAGCTTATTAATTGCTTCGATTACAATATACTGCTGAGCTATCGCCTCGACAGTGAAATGTATGCTCGGCGATAATATTTGCTTTTTCCGCCTGGTCTATATTGTACTATTTTTTTCAAGCAAACAATAATTTTTACATTATCACACTTATAAATATAGAAAACTTCATATTAATACTAGTATAAACGTCAAATTATTATTAAACTCATGTCATTATGTCAACCCCTTTTGTTGAACCTAACCTTAATAATTATGGCTTATGGTAAAATCTAGATTTTCCCTTTCTGACTAAATGTATAAAATGTAGATAAGACCTTTGGCTTTAGCATGGCAGTGTAGTACCAAAATAGTTATTTTTGATGCTAGATTGCGAAATGCCACGTTTGCATTTGAGAACGCAAAGACTTTCGCAATCGGGTATGAAATATATTTTTTTGAAAACTGAATCCCACAGTTTATAAATTACTTTAAATGTAAAGAGAAACGGATGTAATAAATCTCTGGGTAAAAGGCATAAGGGGATAAGTCAAAAAAGCAATTTTTCGGTAGAAACGTGTTCGCATTAATTCAGTAAATATATTTATGGTTAGCGAGTATACCCTTTTGCTAGCATATGACATGTGGCTCCAGTAAAACATAACCAAGCTTTTAAACATAAAAAATAGCTGTCAAATAAAGTGAATGGTATTTGGTGAATACCTAGGACTAATTATTTCAATATTTATTTATAAAATATTACTTGAAAGTGCAAGCAGCAGTGATGAAGGACACGAATTAATAATAAGGAGGATGGCAGGCAGGTCGCCGGGGAGTACGCATACGAAGACCCAGAATATTAAACTACCTACTAGGTAGTACCTAGAAAATGTTATACATTTGTATTCAGCGTACGAATTTAAGAGTAATTTTTGGTATTTGGCGTATTAATGTGGTGTCAGTGAAATTTTATATTTACTATTACTATATACATTTTTCGACGCGGACGACTATAACATTTTATTTTCCATATTTCTCTGCCATAAACCAAAAATTATATTTCTTATAACTGTTATATTTATTTTTTATTTATTTTCTCTGATGTGCCGAAAGTAAAGTTTGTCAAATGTCAGTAAATCATAACCTTGCGTAACCATTGTCACTTTCTGCTGCTACTGAGGCGCGTTCCAATTTTACTATTGCGTCAGTACTGAATAAATTACGGAACGGTCTTTTTTCGCTACTGACTGTAAAATTACTGATAGTAATGGCCATAGATGACCGAAGGTAAATTACGGAACACAACCAAGGTCTGTTCGATCTCGTACTAAAAATTACTGCAACACTGCACATCATTCAATGGCGGCCATTTTTGTTGTTTACAATTCTTGTGCTTTGGGTTTGTACAGATTAATAATCGTTTTAAACGTTGTGTTTCTTACAAAGAGACTTGCAAGCCTTAAAAGAGACCTCAAAGTGGTAAGAACAATCATTTTACTTCTTCATTTCTAAAAAATAAACCTTATTCTATCAGGGCTGTCAAATGTCAATTAGAAGGTTAATTTGTGGGTTATAAAATAACCTTAAATTAACCTTCAAATTGACATTTGACCGCCCTGATAGAATAAGGTTTATTTTTTACAAAAGAGGAGTAAAATGATTGTTCTTACCACTTTGAGGTCTCTTTTAAGGCTTGCAAGTCTCTCTATAAGAAACGCAAGGTTTAAAACGATTATTAATCTGTACAAACGCACAAGAATTGTAAACAACAAAAATGGCCGCCATTGAATGATGTGCAGTGTTGCAGTGATTTTTAGTTCATCGCACAGACCTTGTCGTGTGGATTGTGATTTCTACTATAAATTTATAACATTTATTTGTTAACTAATATGTCACAAAGTAAAAATGAGTTGTGCATACATTTTTTAAAGCCTTAAATTTATCGTTTGCCTCTTGTTTCTTGAATATCATCTTTTGGGAAATAGAGCTTATAGGGTTAATTAAGAAAACGCTTATAGTATGATATGTTTCCACTCTATTAAATTTTTAATGTTAAAAATTAGACGACCAAATAAATATTTAGATATTTTATTTATAAACATAAATCAATATCATGATATGGGGTCTTGAAAAGAGACCAATGACATGGGTTTTTAATTCTTTTTTTGCTAAAAGGTAGAAAATAATAACAAAGTTATAATTTTATTTATTTTATCAACCATGTTAACTTCTGCTCCATGCAGATTCTTTGTTTATTTGGTTTAAGTAATGTGATATTTAAGCTTAAATGTATTTTATGTATGTATTGGATAAAAACAATTTAAATGGGAAAATATTCTTATTCCAGGTTCCCCCTGGATTTTTATCAAAACCTTCTAAGAAAAATTGCTCTCCCAAAACTGTGGACCGAAAACCCACCCCAAAGACTGAACCTAGTGGTAAGTTTTTACTTTTATAATAATATTTAGTATTATCAATATCAAGTCTAGAATGTTAAAAAACGTATTTTTAAATTTAGAAATAGCTTATTATTTAAATCCTAAATGAGTAAAATATGACTTAAATGAGTAAAGTTTAACAATGCAAACTATATTATTTTTTTAATTTAATAAAAGTTCAAAAAAAGACCATGAAATAACCGTACTTAAAAGGTTTTTTATGACATAATCTCTTTACTTTAAAATATAAACTCACTAAATTAAATGTGTGAAATACATTTCACATAATTGGAATGTTACTTGATTTCAAAATTTTAAATAAAAGAATTTCTAACTACATATATGGTATAAATAATTAAATTAACCTTCTCCTTTGATGTACTGAAATCATATCATGTATAAATGATAGTTGTGTGAGGTGTAGCAGTAAATGTAAAATAATTCAATATTCATTTGTAAGCTACAAAGCTGTCGCGTGGTTTCGAGTTTCCATTTATAATCCCATAAATCCCTGGGAACGGCACCCGCACCAGCGAATAAATACCTCAACAAGTAACACTTCTTGCGGCCGATTGATTCACACTTCCCCGCCCGATTCCCGTTTACAAGCCCCTCATACACACCACTGTGCAATATTGCCAAGTTTTGAGGATTTTGCTGGATTTGATGAATTTAGAATTTTAAGGAAATATTTATTAAAACTAGGTTAAACAAAGTCCATCATATAAAAAACGCATGACCTAAGCATTTTCGAGTTATTAAGCATTTAACATATAATGTTAAAACTCGGCAAAACTGTCGTTATATTACTAATAATTAATTAATTCTCATCTAATAGCACTTGTTAACCATTAAGGAATAAGTTAGACAACCATCAGTGTCGTTTATGTATTTTTTTATAAAATATGAACGTACAATCATAACTGTCATAATTAACAAATTTAAACTTTTTTATTATTTTTTTATTAAACAATTGTTCTTCTATTGTTCTAAATTAATAATAAAACGAATATACCTAACTCAAAAACTACTTTCCTACAATTTGTAGGCTACAAACCATGTCGACGGAAATGTTGATAAAAATGTTGGCATTTTACGGGATTTAAAATGTTCCTTCGTATTATTATTTGGGGAAAAACTTAAACTTAAAAAATAACAAATGGCAACCCTGTTCGGAGAACAATCGCGCGTGTGTATGTGTGTGTATCGTGGCGTGGCGGAGATGACACGATCGTGGGGGAACCGGCCCATTAATAATAAGTAGCGGCGGTGCAAAAGCCGCATCGGGACGCTAATAACTCTTCCCGGACGCCCTGCGGAACGTGTCGACACATAATCCCGGATAAATCAACTCCCTTCCTTAGTCCTGCTCTGCACGGTTCGCAAGCACAGGCCTCAAGTGAGAAGCAGACCGAAGTAAATGTTAACATGTTTTATATAAATAATGAAAGAAAAATTTTGGAATTTGTATTACAATTTTAAATACCGGACTTTGTTTAAATTAACATTATTATTGCCATATTTAAAGGTAAAGCAATGTTTATATTTATAAAAATTCTATTTATATTTTTTTTATTTGCAATTTATTCTATTTATGTACATTGTTATTTTTAGCACTTTAAAATGAATATTCAGAAACAATACGTATAAGTAATAAACTTGGATGTTTTAAATATTAGCATTTTTAATTTGAGAAATATATTATAAGGTTTAGTGCTATGAAACCTTATTTTATGATCTAAGACATTTAAGAAATATCAAGTTACTTGAGTAGAAAAACAAAACATATCCTGTTATTATTTTTAAATGGCCTCAGGCAGTTCCAATTTTTAAGATATTTTGGTGTTTATGTAATAAATTAATGAATCAGTTTTTGGTACTGCATATTGAAAGATGTAAGTATTAATCAACAATGTAAACAATTAATGTTTAAGAAGTTTTTTGCCAGTTGGTTAAAGTCGGACCACTGTAAAAATTTCAAGAATTTTTTTTCCATAACTTATGTTATATCTAGAATGGCTTTGTAAAACATATGTCATTTTTTTCTACAAGCGTGCGGAAAATTGCACTTTTCCGCACGCTGTAGAAAAAATGTTAAAGTTATAAATGGAAACTCATGAATAAAATTGCAAGATTCCCTTGATTGTAAAAAAAATATTCCACCCAACACGCACGGAAAGTGTCTTTTCCCCACTCGACTGATGACCGAACTCCGCTACTTGTCGTTCGTTCAACGAAGTCGCGTGCGGCAAAGTATCACTTTCCGCACTTGTAAGGTAAATAACTATTTTTTACGACCGCTATGTAAAAGTCAGATTTTCTATGGTGTCGTTGCTATGAAAATGAATCTTTTCATTTGAAAAGCAAGGAAAAGTTACGTTTCTGTGTCAAAAGTGACAGGTCTGTGAAAAGAAAGTAAGATTTGTTTGTTTGACACAGAAACGTCACTTTTCCTTGCCTTTCAAATGAAAACAAGCAGTTTTAACCCTACTTTTTTACAAATCAACAGTTCTCGGATACCAGGTAAAATTTCAAATAAAATCCTAAAAAAACCTTACTTTGTGTTCGTCGTAAAAAATGCATTTTGTTTCACTTGTGAGAAAAGCAATTTTCAAGCTTATGCTAATGCACGGTTTTCAACACTTGTAAAACAAATAACTATTTCAATGGCAAGTGGTCTGATTAAAATTGTAAAAAACATTAATTTACATACAAACTAAAGTTGATTGACCTGTTTGGATGATAGTTTAAATTCCTTAGCCTTAAAACTAAAAAAGCAGTGAATATTTGAAAAAAATGGGGTTAATTAATAAACAAAAATTGTTTTTGTTGACCATTGTTATTCTTCTACTCCTAGTTATGGCACTGTATGCTTGTGCAATTTTTATTAAATAAATATCAAAAAACGATTTACCGTGCAATAATATTTATTTTGTAATAAGAATAATATTTATTCGATGATCCTTACACATTCGTATATACATAAATCAATTCCTGCTGTTCGCGGATAAAAAGGAAGTTGAAGGTACGTTGCAGTGGATCCGGTCCTGTTGTCATTTCCACCCGTTAACTTCCCACCCCTACAACAGGCAGGATGGCTGGATGGCTGGCTGGTTGCCTTGCTCTCGGGTTTCGAAATCAAGTATCGCAGACACACGGTGTGTCGAGTAGAGAGAGCACGGAAAGAGAGGCGGCGGTGGTAGCGGCGGCAGTAGTAGTAGGGTGGCGGGGTCGCGCCTGTCAATAAACGCCTTTTTGCGGTATCACGCCCAAAATATCTCTCACACCCGCACCCGTCACAAGTGTGCCGTTTCCCGTCGCTCTTTCACGCCGCACTCAATTAGCAGAGCTGCAAGCGAACAAACGACGATTGCTCTCCTGCTACTCGACGTCGACGTCGTCGTCAAGACGCCACTTCACCGCAGCAGCAGCCAGTCTTCTGTCTGCCTTTTGGCGCATCGCACCACATACCACGTTTAAATTAGTGAATCAAACGCTTTTGATCAAAGACTTTGTAGTTGTTGTGTTACTGTTCGTCCGACTATGGATTTCAAGTTGACCATCGCTCACTTGACGCACAACCCTCAGCCGACTCTCTTCAGGGAGCACCCATACGATTTCGGTGGGTTTTATCAATTTTGTTTGTATTTGCATCACTTAATGATTGATTATCGTTGCATGCCTAAGGAAAATACCCCGAAGAATTTAATTTAAGCAGATGTGTGTTTTTGTTTGTTTTGCTTTTTCGCCAGCTGCTAAATTTGTGTTTACCTTTACGCATATCGTGTTGTGTTTATAAATATTTAATGAGTTTGTTTTAACTTCGGGTTATTTATCTATTTGACAGATTTTAATAAAGGTGTAAGTATTAACTTAACTTAAAATATTTATTAATAACAAATATATAGATACTACTCGTTTGGGTTTATTTAATGATTTACAATTTTATAATTATTTAAAGTAGGGTGAAGTGGGGTAAATGTAATCTTGGGGCAAGTGTAATCAGGCACCCTGTATTTTTTCTCATGAAATTTTTGGCATTTTTTTATTTAAAACTCAAAAATATAACCCTTTTTTTACTCATTTTTGGATTTTTTACCTTTTTTGGGGATCTGGCTGCAAAATCAAAATTTTTTTTAAGTTAACTTTTATTAAGACTTGTCTTATGAGTGTCACCTAAAATTTTTTATTTCAGATTCCTGCTATGAATATAAAAAAAGGGTTCAAATATTTTGCTATCCTGGGTTATTTTACAAGAGGAATTCAGTCCTGCTACCAGATTTTGATTTGAATGATAACAACAACATTTACAGTAGTGATTACATTTACCCCAGAAAATCTATACATGGGGTAAGTGTAATCACAGAGTCACGGTTAAATGAAATCGGTGATTATATTTGCCCCAGTCTCTAATTTGGCTTTAATTAATAATTTTGTAATGTATTCTTGTTTGCTTCAGATTTTTAATGAAGAAAACACCAAAGTTTTATTCCCTTAGTATGTACCACAAAAAAGCTTGTAACTTGCTTATTATACAAGATAAAAATTTGTTCTTTATTTCGTTAAAATCAGAATTTTGTATTCTATATTACACTTGCCCCAGACACATTAGCACGATTTCTAGTTAGCAACTACGAGTCGTGATTACACTTGCCCCAAATGCTGGGGCAAGTGTAATCAGCACACTCAGCCCAGCATTATCATTTATATATAAAAGAATAAGGCGGTTAGAAAAATAGTTTTACTTGCATTTCTTAAACAACTAAATAAGCAATAATCTCGCAAAAAATGGGCCCTGTACCTCTATTGGTTCTCTAGTTATTTTAGTTTAAAGTTGAGGTATCATTTTTTTGATTACACTTACCCCACTTCACCCTATTAAAGAACAAGAACAATATTTTGGTTTTTAATTTTAGTTAAAATGCTACAATAAATAAACAGGAAAACATAATAAACAATAGGATGCCAATATCATAATAAATAATAATTCTAAAATATAT